AGGACAGAGTGGTTCTGCATCTGGGGAACATCACTGAAGTAAAATGAGAAAAATCTCTGACCTTGTGGAGCATGTGTTCCAGTGGGAAGATGCAGACGATAGATACCCGATAACCAGAGCAAGGAAAGAAAGTGCTAGAAGGTGGTAAGTGCTGTGAGGCAGGTGATCCAGGGTGTGGGCAGTGGGGACAGGGAAGGGGGCTGTTGTGCTGGGTGGTCTTTGTGTGCCTTGTTGCAAAGATGACCTTTGAGGAAAGAGTTGAGGGACATGAGGAGTTGTCCACGAGGATGTCTGCAAAAGTTCTTTCCAGGCAGAGGATCCTCCAGTTCAAATGTACTGGGGCAGGAAGGTGTCTGTGTTCCCAGAAGAGCAAGGAGGCCAGGAGGGCCGGACAGAGAGAAACTGGGATGAGGTCAGAGGTGTGGTCAGAGCAGGTGGGCCAGGAGGGAGTGGGGAAGCATCTGACCTCTGCTCTGAGTGAGATGGAGAGGTAGAGGACAGTTCTGAGCAGAAGCGGGACATGATGTGACTTCTCTTTTAAAAGGATCTTTGACTGCTGTGTTGAGAACAGAATTGAGAGGCGAGGGACGAGGGAGGCAGAAGGGAAAACAGTAGGAAGCGAGTGCAGTATTCCAGGCTGGAGATGTCGGTGACCTTGAGTGGGGTGTGAGCAGGGGAAATAGTGGGATGGGAGGGGATTCTGGTTGCATTTGAAGGTGGAGTTACAGCATTTGACAATGGATTGTATCTGTGGTATTTGAAAGACAAATCAAGGACACCCATCGTTATAAAATGAGTGAGTAGAAGGATGGAGCTGCTGTCAGTGGAGATGGGGAGACTCTGGCAGGAGCATATTGAGGAGGGGGCATCACAGGCACTCAGTGGAGATGTCTACTAGGAATGCAGGTGGGGGAGCTGGGGTGGAATTTGGACAGACAACTCCAGAGTTTAGCGAAAGGAGAAATAGACTGGGCAGGAGAAATAGATTTAGGAGGTCATATCATATAAACGATACAAAAAACCTCAAGCATGGATGAGGGCACCAAGGGAGTGACTGACTGTGGAAAAGAATGAAGACAAGGACTGAACCCTGAACCTCCATTTCTAAGGGATGTGATCAGACCACACCCAGAGCAGACTGCACACTTCTGACCCCATGTCTATAGGACACTAGACAAGGAACGCCCATGTCCACAGGGATCACCTGGACGTGGTGCTGAGAT